AAGGCAGTCGCTCAACCAACTGAGCCACCCAGGCGCCCCCCAAAATTTTATTTTTTAAGTAAACTCTACACCCAACGTAGGGCTCAAACCTATAACCCTGAGATCAAGAGGCGCATGCTGTACCAACTGAGCCAGCCAGGCGCCCTGAGACACACTCTTCTGTTGGGGGTTGCTAAACTGGTAGGGTAGAAATCTGGCGCTAGGGTGACAGTTGAGAGAAAAAGCCCCTGCCTGTGCTTGGAGGACAGCAGAGCTGTGAAATGGAAGAGGACAGCTTTCTGGTGAGACTATTTGAGCCCCTGGATCCAGCTATGCCTGAAGGTAGTCAGCCTTTGATCATCCTGGTTATATGAGTGAATAATTTTCCTTTTCACTTACACAAATTTTTGACTTCCTTTTTTTTCTTTCTGGTCATTTGCAACCAAACATATCCTTACTGATGGAATCTATAGGAGTCCAGAAGAGGCAGAGATTCCTATAAAGTTCCCAGGACAGGGAAAGGGGAGTGAAAACTTCCTAGAATTCTTCAAGATGTCCAGGCTTTGAAGGACAGGCTAGCTTTGTGACAATGGGGGAAATAGGGGAGGGCATTCCAGGAGGAGTAAAGTCATGAAGGCACAAGGCGGGGACATGTAGAGAGAGGGAGCAGTGGGTTATGAGTGAGGGGCAACATTTTGGGTCCTAAATGCCAAGTGAAGGGTGTCTCATGCTCTTGAGAGCAACAGGGAGCCATAGAAGATGGATAAACAATGGTAGTTTACTCCAAACTTGCTTTTACTTCTTGGGAGCCCCAGATCCTGTGGGTTCCCCTTTCCCTTTCCCCCAGACCCTTGGCCAAGGTGGGAGGGGTTGGACCTGCACCGAGGGCACAGACTGCCATCTGTATGCAAATTGCCTGGGAGGCCATGCAGATGAGGGACCTTAAGCAAATGTATGCCCTCCTGGCAGTATGCACCTATTTGTCCAGCTGCCCAGGACCCTCTCCTCATTAACTCAGGGACCAGGTGCTGAACATAGAGAACCCCTTCCTCCCTGGGGTCACCTCTCTCCCCTCCCCGCCATCTGTTCACCCCCCTCTAGCTCCCCAGATCCTCCCTCACCAATGTCTGTTCTTCCAGTGGTATCTCTCTCCACCTGGTCCCTTCCCTGGACCAAGGGACCCTATTTTGCTTTTCTCTCTGACCCTCCATTTTCCTTGGATGATGATACTACTAATAATAAACATGTTCGGAAAACATACTCTGTGCCAGGCTTTGTATAAACACTTTCCACAGTTATCTTATCAAATTCTCTCAACAACTCTCTTGTGTCTGCTGTATTTTTTATTTTTATTTTTTTTAAAGATTTTATTTATTTATTCATGAGAGACAGAGAGAGAGAGAGAGAGAGGGGCAGAGGGAGAAGCAGGC